GGGCATCTACCCCGCCCCCCCGGGCCTACAACTAACTACGAATGCCGAAATTTCCAGGGGTGGTGCCACATCTTGCCCGTCCTTCCACACGACCGAAAGACAAAACAAACACCGGGCCTAGGCTTCTTTCGGGTATACGGGATTGTAGTCCCAACCAAGCGTGGCTTTTCAAGCCAAGTCAACACTCCTCCTCTCAAATACATCACAAGTAGCTGTACACAAGAACAAAAATCAATTTCAGCAGAGCAGGAACAACCACGCTTATTGTACGTACAAACCGAGACCTTTCTCTCAGGCTAAACGACCCCGCGACGAAAAACATGTTGCGAGTGATCTGCTCACAGCCCCATCCCTACCCAACACCAATCAGCGGAGGAATGCATACGCAACGCGACCAGAAAACCCCTGCGGCATACTATTAGACTTAAAATAAAGCATGGTACTTGATGATGATGCGCAAATCGCGGTGGTTTTCCTACACACCAATTTTACTTTTTCGTCAACACTGCGACGCGTCAACACACAAAAAAATCCGTCAGCCATGACTCGAAGTGGGTCTCTTATGTGTGTATGGCTGAGGAGGGGGGGGAGGTGAAGGCCCTAATGGTTCTCTAGAATGCCAACAGCCACAGTAGCAGCTCAGTTGAAACCACTAGCGACCTACCCGTGTGTAGCTCTACTATCTATCAACATTCTCCTCATGACGCGTGGGAGGTTGTTGGGGGCAAGTTGGGGGAATACTACAACCGGGCGGCGTGGTAAAGTGTAAAGTTAACAAAAAAAAGGGGGGGGTACTCCATATACGCATGACTACAACGGTGATTGGTGGGTCGATTAAAGACGCTCTATGCGAAGGAACAAGAGAGCGCACAGCCTGAACCCCGTATAAAACAATAAAACGGCCTTGGGGCCAACAAGATGCCGCCCCCCCCCCGCCCGTAACCCCCTCAAGAGCAAACCCTCCACGAACAAGCAAAACACCCGGGGAAGCCGCCACACAAGAGCGTTCTTTCCAAACGCGACCGAGAAACGACCATTGACAAATTATCGGGCTCAAGGATCGGCGGGAAGACGCGGTGACGGAGTAGAGTAGAGAACGGGCAGCAAACACCTAGCTTCAAGAAAACAAAACAATTATCAATTATCTTCAAAACACCACCACATCTCGGATCCGGACTCGCGAGCTGTTCTACTGTCTTCCTCCCGCATCGCAAGCAAGGAGGTTTTGAGATCCGAGATAACCAGAGAATACAGAAACCGCGCCAGTGCCAGCCAGGGTGCCCCCTCCCCGCCCCTCGTCTCTCTCTTGCGGACCCCCCTACCAGGCCGTCGCCCAGGATGGGCTCCCCAGCGGCTTCCTCCTCCCGACACACACGGGCCTCCTGCTGAAGCGTTACCTATCCTTTTGCACCTACTCGCTTGCACCGCCGACTGCCCCCGCGGCGGGGGCCGCGGCGGCGGGGGGCAAAGCGTTCGAGGGAACCACCCACTTTCCCATGTCGAGGAGCTCTAGCCACGGGCTGACACGGAACCCTCCCTCCGTGTACCTGATCGTCGAGAGCGGATGATTATTGGTTGGCCCGCCATCGATCGTTTGGTGCGTGCACAGGACAAGAACAACAAACGAACAACAAACGGGAACGAAACAAGGCTTGTAAAAAAAACTAATCGACATGTGCTTCCAAAGTATGAGTTTCTTCTTGTGTACGGTGTACACTTATTTAGCCAACTGGTGTCAATGGCGGTGCCAACGGCTTCCGAGTTTGACACGCGTGTGGCCGCATGGCAAGGTAGGCCAAGTCTTTTCAGCGAATGGAGCGGGGAGAAACAAGATAGACATCATGGTCTACTCGAGTTTCTCAGATGTTAACGAGGCGTGACATGTTTTCTGATTGCTTTTTGTGGTTAGTGTCCTGCCCGTGTCCAGAAAGCAATTTCATTCGGCGGCTTCTTTGTCTGCGTTTTCCAGCCAACACAGCGACTGCCACGTTTGGGTCACGCGCCGCCCGCCCGCCCACCGGAAAAAAAACAAAACCTTGCTGCGCACGACATTTCTTCAAAAACGAGCCAAGAATCGAACCAAAACCACGGCCTTACACGCGCGACAAAACGAGGCCACAACGGCATCACCACCAACAGCAGCGGCAGCAACAACATCACCAACAGCAGCAGCAGCAGCAATAATACCACCAACAGCATCGGCACCAGCAGCACCACCCACAGCAGCAGCCAAACACCACTACAACCACCACCACCAACACTCCTCTCTCCCTCACCAGGCGGCGAACTCGTCGAAGCCGATCCGGTTAGGGGTCTGCGTCGCCGTCTCCGCGAAAATGGCCGCGCTCGTCCAGACCGCCCCGTCGTCGACCGCCCTCGTCAGCTCCTCGGCGGACAGGCTGGAGGACGCGAAGCTCAGGGCCATGAGGGCGGTGAGGAAGGAGCGGGTGTAGCGCCAGAGCCCCCGTCGGGTGAGCCTCTCGTCGCCGTCCTCGTCGTGGAGCCCGAACGCGAACGCGAGCTTGGCCGACTGCAAAGAAAGAAACACGTTCGTTCGTTCGTTCGTTCGTTCGGAAAAAGGTACAGGAGCAGTACCGTACGGAAAGAGGTACAGCAGCACCGTACGTAAAAAGGTAAATCAGTTACCGTTCGGAAAAAAGGTACCTGTACATCAATACAGGGCGGGAAAAGGTACAGCAGTAGTATATGATACCGCCTAAACGAAGAGCTGGAATACCTCGTACATGATGGTCGCATTTTTCATGCACATGCACCGGTCGAGACCTTGCTTCATATTCCATTTTTGTTACGTTGTCCGTGAGATTGGCCGACTCCAAACAAGCACGTTCGTACGGAAAAGGGTACAGCAGAACCACAAAAAAAAAAAGGCCTGAACACCTCGTACATGATGATGGCCGCTTTTAGCATATGCATCGGTCGAGACTCTGTGCTTCCTGATCCGTTTTTTGCACAGAATTTCCGTTGATAATCCATTGCTCGCATCGTCTTAACCCACCCAACGGACCATCGCCTAGCCCTCTCTCAACTGCATAGCGCCGTTCCTGGAATGATCAAGCCCAAGACTTGAGCACCAAAGAACCCTTTCGGTGTTGGCCTTGGTCTTTATGGTCAAGTCCACAAAACTACGCAGGAAATGCCGTACGTACGTTGCCCAAACCAAACCAAGGTACACGTGGGGTGGAGTGCGGAGGAGGGGGCGGGCTAACAAACTCACGAAGCTGACACAGATTTAACAAAAGCAGCAGCAGCAGCAGCAGCAGCAGCAGCAGCAGCTTGTTTCGCTCGAAATATGCAGAAAAAATATAAACCCATAAAATAGGCTTCTCGTTTGGGTGGAAAGGTCTGTCTGCTTACCTTAGACCCCGCGCACAGGAGCGAGAATCCGGACGCCAACTCAATCGCGTCGGCAGAAGAGCTGCCCGTGGGAGGGGAGGTGTGTGTGTGCGCAGAACAGCAACAGCCAGAGAGAACGGTGAGTGCGAGCAGGACTTCCAATTCTTTTGGACAACGTTTCTGCTGACTGTTTCTTACCCGTCTGGTGGCACTAATTTGACGGCACTTATTTTTTTGTTGTCCTTCGCGCAACACAATAAATCCATCTCTATCCATAGGATAAAGGGTCTACCAATAGTAATAGGATAGATTCGAACTGCATTCAAGGGGTTTTCGGAGCACTAGTTACGGTTCTCCAGCTTTGCTTATGTTGGAGTTCGTGATGAAAGAGACGAAACGCTCGGTCCCGAACGAAGAACGCTATACATGCGCACACGCAACACTCAATACACTATAAACAAGGCTTACGTGTTATCCCGGTCGAAGCTGAAGAAGATGCTGCTCAGCAGCACCGAGAAGGAGGTCTTCTCCTCCGTGTCCAGCAGCGAGGCCGGCACCATCCCCCGGATGCACTTGTCGAACGCGGCCTTGCTTAACACCCCGTCCTTCGCCACCGACACAAGAGTGCCGCACACCTGCAGCAGCACCACACATAAAACATACCACATACACATGCACGTAAGTGACAAGAGGGAAATCGCAGTCATTCCTCTGCAGACCGACTTCGGGGAGATTGCACCCTTCACTGCATTTCGTCTTGCCTTGCATCACACTTCTTGATGACGGCAGTGTGCTCTCTCTCATGAGCCCACTACGGTGGGATCACTTGCACCCTTTTTATTGAATGGGGATCTCCACAAAAAGGAAGGAAACCAAAATTGTAGAGATCATCCAAAACTGTACAAAAAACGAAAAAGAAAAAGCCGCCTTCAACTTGAAACCTGTCTACGTTTGCGATCGCTCCTTTTCGCACGACGGAGAAAATTGCGGGAAAAGCAACGCATTCGCACCGATACAGACTAGAAAAAGTCGGCGTCGAGCCGTGGCCGTTTGCTGTGTGTTGGTTTGAAAAAGAAAATGAAAAAAAAAAAATCGATGGATCGCCTTGTTTCTTTCACGCTGTCCTCGTCGGCCTGCCTGTCTGTCTCTCTGGTCTTTCTCTTTTCTTCCTGACTTTCCGTCTAATCCCTGTCTCCATCTCTGCCTCCCCCCCCCCGCCCCCCCCCTCTTCTCTCACGTCTGCAGGCTCCCGGTTGCACAGCCCCGTCTTGTTGACGAGATCCAGCACAGCCGTCGCGTCGTCGTCGGAAATCACCAGGTGCACCGGGTTAGCGGACTCAGAGATCTGGAAACAGAACCGCGGCTTCTTGTCCATCTCCGCACCGTTGTTACCCAGCGGCCCCTCCATCACTGGTCTGAGCGCACCCACCCCTGGGACCCACCTGTCAAATGACGTCACGCCCATGGGCATGCCGATTATGTAAAATAATACATGTGTGTCAGTTTCCCGGTGTCTCTGAGAACCACGCTCCTACTGGAGTAGGGTCGTGGCCAGGCCAACTGTTCCTCTGTTCTGCGGATCACAAACGCGTACGCGCGAGCATATACGGATGTCACTGTTCGATGGACGCGCGCCCGTCTTGTCAGACATCAGCGTGCCATGCCGAGAGTGGCGTGTGCTCCACGGCACGTTCTGCGTTGGCGTGCTGCTGTGCACAGCCCCATTCGCCCCTCTACCTGTCACTTTCGCTTTCCCGTCTGTTCCCAGAGAGTCGTCGCCCGTTCAGCCTTATAAATCTTCCACACGCGAAGACGACGACCGTCACAAAAGACAAGGACTGCCGAAACATCCCTCCTAATCAAGCTCTTGCCCACCTGCGTCATCCTGCATTTCTGCATGTCAAGCGTTCCCACGCCTCCGATCGTGATGCCCCGCACTTCCGGCACAACCTTGTTGATGTTTCTACACTCCCAACACTTTCGGAACACATTCCACACATGTGAACAGAACATGTCACACACATGCGACGACTCACTTGGATAAGTCTACCAGCTCCATCCAGGGGACGCTCTTGAACCCCCCCTCGTTATACCAAAGCCCGAACTCCTCGAACGTGAGGTTTGTCCTCCCTCTGTAGACAGATTCGGGGTCCTCAAACAACGCCTCTAGAGTGAACTCCGAGGACCGGTCCACAATGGCCCACATCTGTTGCATTTAATCGTTGTACGACACAGGCGGTAGCGATAGGGTGGTGGGCGCGGGTGTGGGTACAAGAAAAGGGGAGCAGGCGTCGGCCATGGCAGGCACAGCCAACATGGGGTAGGGGTGAAACAGAGGAGAGGGGGGGTTGTGCTGGTATGTATCCCGCAGCACGGTCGATCGGAAAAGCGATGTCGCGACGTGTTCGATACCAGATTTGGCTCTCAGCATGCACACGCCATATTCGTTAAGTCTACTTTTGCAGTTAGATGACCAAGAACACACCGAAGGCACGCGAGAGCCTATTTATCCACCCTGTCATGAACTCCACGGCAACCCATACGATGCCCTTCCAACCTCCCCCCTCGACCAACACATTACCACACGGGACAAGTTGAAGCAAAACATTTCAAGTCTTCCGCCCTGTGCTCCCACACAAACGCTCTGCAAAGCCCCCCCC